ACGAGCTGCAGCTGTGACAGCAGGACTTAGTGTCACCTTCCCCTGGAGAAGCCTCGCAGACCAGTCCTGTATCTCCTCGCCTCAGCAGCAGCGTGCTGGCAGCGCCTGCAGTGAGATAACTGCACTGTAGCCATTAAAAGAGAAGGAGCGAATGTGTTGTGCTCATTTTGTTTGAGAAGGGAGTGCTCCCGGGCATGTGGCGGGGGCGTCACGTCCTCGCTGCCCTCAGCTGGCCACAGATGGTGTTTGGCCCCGACTCAGAAAACACTTGCAGTGTTGGGACTCTTGTCTACTTTGCAGGCCAGCAAGTGCCATACCCTAAAGGAGATGCTGCTGCTGCTGCTGTGCCTGTCCTCAAAGCCTGGCTCCTGGGGTCAGGGCGAGCGGCCAGCAGTCATATACTAAGCTTCCAGCTCGTAGCCAGGAAGGGAGGAGAGGTAATCACACCTCTGGCACTGCCGCCTGAGGAGCTCCTGCCAGCCTGCTGGCAAGCATGCATTCAAAGGTCTTGTGGAATCAGTGCCAAGTTGTGGTGTTTCTGATCTTCAGGTGTCTAAAGAAAAGCAAAAGAGGTTTGCGTAACTCCCCTGGCACCTCCAGCTCTGCCTTTTGTATCTGTAATTAATTCTGGGCATGGCTCTGAAGTGGATTGCAAACGGGAATTCATGCTGGGAGGTTTCTGCAAACTCTCACTGGTTCTGGCCTCACCTACCCTCTCCAGCTCGTTTCTTTCCCAGACATGGCACATGTTAGTGCAAAGGAGATGCTGAGCAGGCACCAAGCCTCCAACTGGATGAGTGCATTCCAGGAGCTTTGGGAGTTCCATCTCCTCCAGCGACTGTCCTGCCTCTATCAATGGGGGTTGGGGCTATGTCTCCCTGCCAGTACTACCCCCAGGTTCCTGCTCCAGCTGGTGAAGCAGCTCGGAGTGCAGCTCGGATTGCACCTCCATGCTGCTTACCTTACAGTGCCCCAATGGTATTTGTTCCTTGGGAGAAGAAAAAGATGGCTGCGACGTTGCATTGCAGTGGCAGGAGGAATTTAATGCATTAAATACTTGTCAGAAACCCTGCTTTGAATGCATGTGCATTGAGTGTGATCTCTGAGCGCCTTCCTGCTGCAGGGGTAGAGAGGGTCGAGAGGGAAGTTCCCCAGTGGCAGGGGGCATGCCCATAAGCCGTCTGCAGCGGGACCCTGAGCAGTGAGTCCCCAGCACTGGGGCACCCACACATGATGAGGACAGGAGCAGCTTATTCCCCACTTTCTTCAACAGGAGGCTTGGCTGTGGGCTGGCAAAGTTTTCTTCCCAAGAATATGAATGTGTGAGTGAGCGCCTTTCCCAGTGTTACCCCGCTTCCTCTAGCTGCTTGCCTGAACAGGACGACATTCCTCAGACCCTGCAGCTGTGGCCGTCCTTCACAGCCTGTTGCAAAGCAAGCCCAGGTCGGAGGGTCTACTCTTCCCCAGATGGGAACCAACATCTTTGGGGGCCCCGGGGTCTCCTCTGGTTGGGAGCCTTAGTCACAGCTTCACTGTCTAGACCTGCAATTTTTCCATCCTCCTGGCAGGCAGCCCTTGGGGAGCAACTCTGAAAAGGTCGCTATGCTGCAAAGGAAAATGCCCAACTGGGATTTTCAGAGTAAAAGGCAAGGAATTCATGTATAGGACTGCTGCATTTGAAATCAACAGCAAAGTGTGTTAAACAAGCACGATCATGCTACTTCTGTTACTTGGCTGGAGTTCAACCAGAGACTCGTTTCTGTGCCTGGTCTTGTAGCACTGGACACAGATGGACACTTGTGCAAATTGCAGATTTGTGTTCCTCATGTGAACATAAGGAAGCCAGTTTAATTTAACTTCTTTTCATGCCCTACCTCTATGGGGTAGTGGGGAAGGGCAACTTGACAGGGGTGGTGGGGGAGATGAAATGAGGTTTGGGCTGGCCCATCGCTACCCAACAGTGTTGAGGTTGCTTGGGGGCGCACATCGGCCGTGGTCCCATCCCCTCATGTCCTCCTGGCACCTGAGACCAGGAGTCAGATGGGACAGCCCTGCCTGTGGCCTGCAGGATCTGCTTACAGATCTGCTGGTGATGGCCATGTGGTGCCATCCACCCAGCCAGCCCTGCGAGTTCCTGCACCACAGGGTGTGGAGATCACTTCCACCAGATTTAAACCAGCCTTATCCCAGCATCATGTGCTCCCGATTCTTGTGCTTGGGAACGTGGTGAAAGTCAGACCCAGGCATGGGTGCCTTGAGAGCTGTGGCTCTCACCTGCCATCCTTCCCTCCCAGCCTTGTCACTCCTCTCCCCCGGTTTCAGCGTTCAGAGCAGCGTGTTGAACAAGGCACAGCCTTGCTTCCATGGCTGCAGGAGGTGCAGAGAGGAGGAGAAAGAATGAATATTTCTGTTCACTTGACCCCAGGGGAATCCATCCCACAGAGACAAGAGCACAAAGCACAGCTGGTGCATTCAGTGATGGGCTCCACCAGCAGCAGAGCATCTGCACCAGACACCCAGCTGCTCCTGGTCATCTCCATCCAGTTTCCTCCAAAGCCACGACTGGAACAGCTCTGTTTGCTTCATGGACACAGAAACGCACCATGCGCTCCAGAGCACACTTAAATGGGGCACAAGACCCCATGGCTTTGGAGGAGCCACCTTCAGTCGTGATTAGGCATGATGAGAAATGGTGCCTTGCAGTTTGAAGCAAGGTTGAAAAGCTTTCCTCATTCCAGGGCAAAGCATTGGTCACACCAGCCCCTGGCAGTGCTGCAGGCCTGGGGAGGAGCGGCTGGAGAGTGCCCGGTGGGAAAGGACCTGGGGGGCTGGTGGGCACCCGGCTGGAGATGAGCCAGCAGTGTGCCCAGGTCGCCACGAAGGCCAGTGGCATCCTGGCCTGGGTCAGGAGTTGTGTGGCCAGCAGGAACAGAGCA